TCACATATATCATATCATGTTAATCACATAAAACATATCAGGTAGTAGCAAACCTAGATAATTATCACAAAGACAATCATCTATCAACCAACTCCTACTAGTGGGCCGACATTGTGGCCGTAGACCCACTCCTACTGGAAGGTAACTCACCTCAATGTTGTAAAGTGTCTGAAATGTCCTTGCTGCCGGAGTCAACCCCTCTCAGATCCTACACATAACAATCTTCCTTAAACACATCTTTAGAAAAATGGTTGTTTTGAAAAGTTTAAATTTTATGAATTTGTATGGATGTTACAAAATCGATACATCCACAACCAAAATAATCTCTCAAAAAATAGATACATCATCGGCGATCATTCTTATCTCAAACAAACAAAAAATTTCCGCCGGTGAATCCCAGGAGCCCGTTTCCACCCTTGCAATTTGTGATTGTATAAATGTCACATAAATTGTCCGATTTGGACTCTCCAGTCGCCATCCATGGTCTGAACTCGTCGACTGATCAAGAACGACGACCACCACCAATGTATCATTAGATTTCGACTTCAATTTCTAGAACCATCCCACCCCTTTCCTCCATACAGATTCGGCGAGACCCCAAACCTACAAATCGGAAAAATCAAACCTCAAAGATCAAACCCTATACCTGCAAATCACATCTAACTAAACCCTAAACCTGCAAATTGGAACTAACGAGTCGCAGGAGAAGAAAAAGGATTATGATCAACGGAATCAGATCAAGGAACGTGATGTCCACCGCCACCAGTTCGAGGAGGATTTCGTCCACCACCACTTCATCTTCCTCATAGATGGTGTAACTCGACAGGGGCTAATTTACCTCGTAATGTGGATTATAGCTTCATTGAGGATTCAGTATGTAGGTTGATGGCTTCTTCAAGTCAACGTGAAGGTGATTCGAGGTTCTTTAAGTCAACATGATGGCTTCTTGTGTATGTGTGTGTGTGTGTGTGTGTTTTGTATTGAAGAAGAATGGAGAGAGCGAGAGAGGAGGGGGGAAGAGAGACATCGGAGGTGATGGTGGTATTTTCATGCGTATGAGAGAGATAGATATTAGAGAGTTGTTTTTTAAGTTATTAAATAATAATAAATAATATTAGATTAATTAAAAATAAATATCCAATGGCATAATGGTCATTTCAAATATGGAGTGGACTAAATTCGCAACAAAAACACATATCAGGGACGAAGTTAGCAAATTTTAAGCAAACGAGGGACAGTCCGAGTTATTTTTTGAAAAATAGGGACTAAACATGCTTTCTGGCATGTGCACGAGGGACGATTGATGTAATTTACCCTTATTTAAATAGGAAAAATGGTGGGGTAGGTAAGGTAAGGTGAGGGTGGCGGGGTTGGAGGTGTGTTTATTTTAATAAATTAAAAAATCAAGGGAAAAATAGTCTTTTTAGGTAAGACGGGGACCAAACGCGCAAATTACCCTAAACTATAGGGACCATTCATGTAATTTACTCTATTTTAAATAATGTTAATTAATGTTTGCAACAGTGGATTAGTCGGTTCCAGAAAGCTGGCCCAGAACCTTCGTTAGGGAAATTCCTTTCCAAAAAAAATCCATGTAAATGATAAAAAATTAAACAGGTGTAGCAAATCTGAAGTGGTGCAAATATGACAGAAAAACAGTATGGTAAAACTAACACCATTCATTCCGACTTTAAGGGTTTGGTCTTGTTGCCATGTGATGCTTCATGTTATGTATATACGAGTTGTTATATAGTTGTAAACTAGAACCTTGTGTATGTATATATGAGTTATATAAAACGTTTTTTAAGGGTTGAAGCCAAATTTGGCTAATCAACTAATTTTGCCTCTCTTATTTCCATCTAGCAAGATTGTTGCTCCAAAGTGGGAAATTCGTGATGAGACCATGGAACCCGATAGAAGAGACAACTTTGGCCCATACATGGGTCTTTGTATCTGAGGGCCTTGTCGTCAACAACGCACTTGACAGGGGAATTTTTTAGACGAGAATCACCACAAATTTTCTCACTTAAATGAATCAAGGTAATTACCGTTCAAAAGATCAAGTGTACGCAAAATGAAAGTCCACGAACAAAGTGGTTTTAATAATTTGAAATGCAATTAGAAAAATGATGAAGATGATGGTGAAAATGATGTAGATGACATCATTTTAAGCAAATCCCCTCAAATTTTCCGATAAAAAAATTGAAAAAGCTTTCAAATATTTGGAGTATTGAAATGTTGCTAAGTTAGTCCAAAAAATGAGTTGCAACGCTACAGTAACTATTTTTTTAGTGTTATATTTTTTTTGATGTTATGTTTTAATTTAATGTTTTGTTTTATCTTAATGCTACATTTTAATTTCATGTAATGTTTTATTTTAATGTTATGCTTTAGTTTAATATTATGTTTTAATTTAATGCTATTTTTAATTGTATTTTAAATAATGTTATTTAATGTTTGCGGCGGGGGATTAGTTGGTGCCAGAAAGCACCCGGAACCTTCGTTAGGGAAGTTCATTTTCAAAAAAAAAAAAGAATCATGCAAATGATAAAAAAAAATTAGCTGTAGCAAATCTGATGTGGTGCAAATATGATAGAAAAAATAGTATAGTAAAACTAACACCACACCTTCCGAGTTTAAGGGTTTGACCTTATTGTCACGTAATGCTTCATGTTATGTATATATGAGTTGTTATATAGCTGTAAACTAGAACACTGTGTATGTATATATGAGTTATATACAACGTTTTTTAAGGTTTGAAACCAAATTTGGCTAATCAGCTAATTTTGCCTCTCTTATTCCATCTAGCAAGATGGCTGCTCCAAAGTGGAAAATTCGTAATGAGACCATGGAACCCGATAGAAGAGAACTTTGGCTCATGCATGGGTCTTTGTATCTAAGGACCTTGCCGTCAACAATGCACTCGATAGAGGAATTTTTTGGACGAGAATTACCACAAGTTTTCTCACTAAAATGAATCAAGGTAATTACCGTTCAAAAGATCAAGTGTACGCAAAATGAAAGTCCACGAACAAAGTGGTTTTATTAACTTGATATGCAATTAGCAAAAGGATGAAGATGATGGTGAAAATGATGCAGGTGACATCATTTTAAGTAAAGTTCTTCAAATTTTCCGGTAAAAACAGAGAAACTTTCAAGTATTTGAAGTTTGGAAATGTTGTCCCGAAAAATGAGTTGCAACGCAACGCTAACTATTTTTTTAGTGTTATGTTTTTTTTTTGATGTTATGTTTTAATTTAATGTTTTGTTTTATTTTAATGCTACGTTTTAATTTCATGTAATGTTTTAATTTAAATAATGTTTTATTTTAATGTTATGTTTTAGTTTAATATTATGTTTTAATTTAATGTTATTTTTTTATTGCATTTTAAATAATATTATCTAATATTTGCAGCGGGGGATTAGTCGGTGCCAGAAAATTGTCATGGAACCCTCGTTAGGGAAGTTTCCTTTCTAAAAATAACAATCCATGCAAATGATAAAAATTAAAGAGGTGTAGCAAATCTCATGTTGTATAAATATGACAGAAAAAACTGTATGATAAAACTAACACTATTTCTTCCGATTTTAAGGGTTTGATCTTGTTGTCATGTAACGCTTCATGTTATGTATATATGAGTTGTTAAGTTGTTATATTAGCTGGAAACTAGAACCTTGTGTATATATGAGTTATATAAAACGTTTTTTAAGTGTTGAAGCCAAATTTGGCTAATCAGCTAATTTTAATATATCCATAAGTACCATAATTCACATTTTATTATAAAGAGTTAATAAATTGTGAAAGTTAACCCAAATTGGTCCTCTTTACCTACAATAGCAAGTTATCATATTGCTCTATAAAACGTGTATAATGATATCTGCAATGTTTTATCATATTTAATATCTATATTTTATATAATTGGTCACTTGCAACTCTATTATTTTGTTAAATGATATTTTTATCCCTTTACTTTTTAAACTATCACTTTGACCCCTTCACTTTAAATTTTATGAAATGTCACTTTCATCATTTCATTTTATAAACTTTGTGTTTATCTCCCGTCCCCGTGGTATACATATAATATGATTTTTCCCATTCTACTTTGTAAAATGCATTTTTCACCCTTTTATTTTTTAAAATGTTACTTTCACACCCACAACATTTCGACGTATTCAAATTCGAGTTTATCTACATTTTGACTTAATTTTTTTTTCATGTTTATTTATATGTTCGTTTCCTACGTATGAGTCGGGTCATATATAGTACGTTTATTATTACTTGAACTTTCGTTCGTTGATTAAAAAAATCTTACTTGTATATTTTTTATGTAAGAATCAATATAAATTCGAGTTTTTTTTCGTTTCGACGTAAATTTTGTATATGTTTTCGTGGTTTTCTTAATATGTACTTCTTTTTGTATAACTTTAGTACTATATATAACTGTTCATATACGAGTTTTACTAACAGAACCTCTATCTTGCGCCTCATTTTCTTGACAATTGTTGTTGTAAAGGTTTTCCTATCATAAGCTTCTATCATGTGTCTCCCTTTCTAACCGGAATTGTTTTATTGGAGAATAAATTAATCCAATTTACATTATGGCCTCTACATGGATCATTCAAAAACTTTTAAACTTACAAAAATAATGCCTAAACTCTTTACAACTTTTGATAAATCACCCAACAATCATTTCTTTTAAACTTTTAGTGTTTTTGGAAGCTGTAATATATTTAATCAATTATCATGTCTAATGCGCAACAAAAACAAGAATCCACAGCAAAACACACTCAAATACTAGTTTATAACAATACTTAAAAAAAATTATTAGAAAATAATAGTCTGAAAGTTATATTTGATTATAACAGTAAAAATTATTTTGTATTTCAATTACATTGTTACAAATGGATATATTTTTTATTTCACAATGTAATTAGAAATAAAAATACGATGTTACAATTAACAAATAAATGCAAGTATGTTGCTACTTCTTGCATTTAACCCTAGCCTTAATAAACAGATACAACATGAGGTAGTAATCAGGGAACTAAAAAGAAAAAGTAACAGTAACACCACTTCAAAAAATAAAAAAATAAAAATAAAAATAAAAAATCCTCCATATACTCTAGACATTTTCTTCATCCATCAACATCAACCAAAAGCAATTAAGTCATTCAATACGACTACTGACCAACAACCTAAACAAACACAACATATACTCCATCTTTAACAACCTACAAGAAAAAAAAAAGACAGAAATACCCTTCAAACACATATCTATCCCAATTCCATATTCCATTCCATTACTAACATTCTCTCAATCCTTAGGTGCATGTAGGTTGAAATCAGCACCATGTTCTTTCAGGGGCAAATTCGTCATTTGGGTCCTCTGTTTCATCTCCGCCGGAAACTGGTGCTCCTGTTGCTGCTGTTGCTGGTGATGCTGCTGAAACTGGCGGTGGAGGTGGTGTTGCTGCTGCTGCTTTTGTGACTGAATCTGGAGTTGCTGAAACTGTTGTGCAGTTAGCATGGTGTTCATGTTCATGGCTTGATTGTTTGAGTAAAACTGCTGCTGCTGTGGTGGCTGTTGGTGGTGGTTTGATGAAAAAGATGTCTGAGGAAAATTTGAAAGATTCTGTCCTGTCAGTACTTTCAGATGTTGGATCTCCTCCTTCAATGCATCGTTCAAAGCTGAGGGCAATTCCGGAATTTTGATTAGATTCAAAAATACATAATAAAAAAAAGGGGAAATTAATCAATTATATCAACTTATACCATCTTGCAAGTGGACTTGTTGTTCCATGGTTTGTAAGCGCATTTTCAGTTCACTGTTTTCAGCTGTCAAACCATTTGTATCTCTCTGAAATAACAAAATAAACAAATAAACACCACTCTTAATTTTATATATTTAAATATATAAAATATAATAATTTATATGAAAGAAACCTGCATAAGAGTGAGCTGAGCAGAGAGTGAAGTTGCTTCAGTTTGCAGTGTTTGGACTTTCCTTTCAAGCTCAGCAATGTATCTCATTTTTCTTTCCTTTGACCTTGCAGCTGATTGCCGATTTGCCCATATCCTTTTTTTTAAACATATTACAATGGATCAACACAAGGTCTCCTAATTATAAGTTATAATAAAATAACAAATAGAAAAAGTGAAAAGAGAGATTATACCTTTTTGCACGCTTTGGATCAACAAGAGCAAGTTCAGCAAGCTTTGCAGCAGACATGGATTTCTTAGCATCAACAGAAGATGTTTCTTCAGGGCCTGAAGTGAGCATTTCAGGCTTAATTGTAGTTGACCCATCCATTGACTGACTATGCTGATGTCTAACCCTAGGCTTCTCAGATTGCAATGTTGCAGGTTCTGAAGCGTGGATTCCAGAAGATGATGAATCACCCACTTGAAACGATGATGTTGCAGATGAAGAGTTTAACTTATCCATGTCAAGATACATAGAAAACAAATCTTCTTCAGTTTCATCTGAGAATGAAGGGCCATTGAAGCCACCCACGACACCAAGATCACTATCGAAGCTAATATCATCTGGTAGGGTCAGGATTTCTGAATGTGCACGTCTATGGCCTAAATGTTTGGGTGGATTATCAGGCATTCTGCTAATATCATGACTAAAAGGGCTAGAATCTGATGCGACATGTCCCATTGGACTTGGAGGCAATGGTGTTGATCCTGATGGCTCTGGTTTTGGACCAAAGTTGTTCCCAGATTGAGGTGAAAAAACTGAATGTCGCCCAGAAGGAGGTAATAGATTCCCACCGATATTTGGGGATTTATCTTTCTCCATTTACACCAATGAATAAACCCAGAATGCTTAGAATTCAAGAACAGTAAGTCAGTTTTTCTTCAAACCCAATATCAGATGTTTGTGTTTTGAACAGAAACCCTAATTCGATTAAAGAATCTTGCTAAGAGACGGAGTAGAATCCCACACTTAACAAATCTTTTTCTTGAATCAGAAAGTTAGAGTAGAACTCAAACCCTATGATGAAACCAATTTCTAGTTCAAAAACCCTGCAAATGTTTTATGAACAACAGAATCAAAACCCCGGACAAATGCAGACGAATTGAGAGAAAAAGGTGAAGAGCAAGTGAAATGAGAGTGAAGAAAGTATACAAGTAACATCAAAGCGAATAGCACAAAGGGGAATAACTAAGGAAACCCTAGAAAAGAAAATAATGTATCAGGGGTTGTAGAAAGTGCAAAAATTCTTACTTCTAAAGATGATTGGGAGATTTCTGAAAAGCGAAATGAGAAACGCGTAGAGAATCAATAGCTTTTCACATGATAAATCGAACAAAGAAGCACATGGCGGGGCTAAAGATCTGACTTCTGAGATGCGAAGCTTGTTAGAGAAACACAGGGAGTTTGGTGACAACGTTTATGGTAAGGACCCGATTGCGTTTTGGGCTTCCTTTAGAAGGTATTGACTTTATAGTCCATCTTGGAGAAAGAAATCAAAGAATTATCTTGTAGATTTCTGTTTAATTCTTGAACACAAACTACGATTTTGTAGGGATTTTAACCGATTGTAGTGACATTTAAAACCCAACTACAAATATTGTTCGAAGATTCTGTTATATGCAAACTAATCGGATAATAATATAGTTATAAATTTAATATATAAAATATATAATTATAAATCTCATTTAGGTAAATGACTTTCAAATATGATATGTATAATTAAACTAGAAGGTTGGCCCGTGTAAATACTGGTTCCAATATATTGATTTTAGAAATAAGTTGTTTAAGTGTACCTTTATTTTACAAGTTAATTATTGTACCGTCTGACTTCAACTATATTCTAGTAGATTTTTTTTTCTACTATTTCTCAACATATGTTCTATGTCAGAAAACACATATTGTCAAAGAAATAAAGGTGATAATATGTTCGTTGTAACCTTCTTCGAATTAGGTTATGTGCATTGGATGTAACATATGTTCCGTGCACAGAGGGTGTAGCAGGTGAAACATACGTTCCAAGAATATATATTCTATGTCGTGGAGTTTAAATCCGTTGATGTGTGTCATCTTGAACTTGACTTGGTCACTGAAAATATGGTTGTGTCGAGCTGACAGGCTTCGTTAAGTTTCTTTAAACATGAAAATTTGCATTACATTGTTAATTCAAATAGTGACATGATGGGTAATACTCATAATCTTCATCAACATCATCGTATAAATCATGATCTTTTTCTTCCGAATTAACAATATTGAGAAGAAGATGAGTCTTTCTCCATTAATCAAAAGTGTTGAGCCATTTTGAGGAAAGTAGTTGGGTTTTTATAGTTTCCTAGCATAATTTCAAATTGTATCATGTTAGGATCAACAATGTTAGCATGTGCCAGATCATTCCGTAAGATAAAGATACAATCTGAGATAGATATTGTAACATCTATTTCCCAATTCTCACTTAAATTATAACATTTAATTGTGGGATTTTCATGTTCACGACACGACCTTGGTTGGTCACAGTGTGATTTCTTAAGTAAAGGTCGTGGCGTGACATCTATTATGCACGACGTGATCTAGCTGATGAGAGAAACCCTAGTTCTCGGCCTTCGGGCCCTATTTAAAGGCTTTAACCACTAGGTAACATCCTTCATTTGACAGCCTTCATGTAACATCCTAAAAATACTGAGTAAAAATTTCATTGAAAATAAATCAAAACCATTCATTCATTTGTTCTAAAAGATAACCAAAGTAACAATATTCTCAAATCATCAGAGTAAAATCAAAATACAGCCAATGCGAAATAAATCTTCAGGGGATGCAGTGTGATCAAGTCGGCCCTTCCTTTTGGAACCAGAAGTACCTATAAACATTTTAAACATAAACTTTAAGCACAAAGCTTAGTGAGTTCCCCAAAACATCACATAACATATATAATATAGTAAATGTTATGGGCCGAATCATAGTCTTACCGACACTTCCTTCTATGGGCCAAATCATGGTATTTTCTTGCAATGTCGATGGCTAAATATCGGTCTTACAAACAAGTGTCAGGAGCCACATCCTGGTCTTTCATGCAAGTATCACGAAGACAAATAGAATCCCACATACAAATGTCATGGGCCAGATCCTGCTCTTACATACAATTTCCATCTAAAGGTCGATGCTTTTCAGTTATGCATGTCCAATGCAAGTCTAGAGCACAAACTAGGTCAAAATGGAGAAATAACACCAAACTCTCATGTATGGAACTCAAAACACCAACACACTTTAGATTTGAAACTTATGTTCATCAAGGGACTTTCAAGGACTCATAAAGTTGCTAACTTTATGGAATCCCACCATTCCAACTAGCTCATCCTTGAAGAAAAGGGACAAGAATCTAGATCTAGAGACATAGAACAATAAAGCTTGGATCTTGAACACTTACAAAGGTCCAAAATATAAAATAAAAAGATGATGATGAGGCTTGCAAGCTAGATCTATACACCAAGTGTGCTTCCTTCTCCTTCAAAACACCAATAAAAAACTCAAGATCTTCAATAATGGAGGCTAGGGTTTCATTGAAAGGGTTGGAGGATGAAGATGATGCCCTAAACCTTGAGTTTATGGGTTTAAATATGGAGAAAACCCTAAAATATATGGGATTAGGCCGAAACAGCCACTACATCGTGACACCCTTTATGTCATGTCATGGAGTCCATCCGAGACATGTGATCTTCATCTTGCATACCACATCATGACATATGGTTTTTCTTCAAAACCATGTAACACCCGTAGATCCGGGCTAGTCAATTTAGAGACGATAAGCATCAAAAATGACTTTTTGATGGAAGATTATTTAGAAGGAGTAATCTTAACTAAGTTGTAGTATATGTTACAAGGATTCCGTACATATAAAGAACGCTGAAATCCGAGTTATAACGAAGAAGTTATGACCTGTCGAAGTTTCACGACAGAACCGGCACGATAGAGCGATATTTGGATTTAGCGATCTAAACGAAAGTTGTAGAATACGTTAAACCGAGAGCGTGCATGAAAAGAACGCCCAAATCTGACTTCGTATGAGGAAGTTATGATTTTTCGAAGTCTCGTCTTAGCAGTGTACAGCCCGAAGTTCGAATATGAGATCGAGCGATATTTAGCCGAAATGTAACGACGTAAATTTTAAAACAATTTTTCATTTTTCAAACGCAATAAAACTCGTATAATATTCTCAAAATCTCATGTGTATCAAATTTCATCACAGTAAAACATATCCCAGAATCTCAAAACATAATCCTCTGCCAGTGTGTACAAATCATGTCGGCGCCTTCCCGCGATCATCGGTAGCACCTGAAACACATATCACATAACACGGTAAGCATAAATGCTTAGTGAGTTCCCCAAAATACCACATACAACACATACGCCACTCAAGGCTATAACTCGGTACGACCCTCCGGTCGATGTGTCTCAGCGGGACCCTCTAGTCTCGTAGCTCGTTGGACCCTCCGGTCCGATCTAGCTCGTTGGACCCTTCGGCCCGGTCTAAATCGTTGGACCCTCCAGTCCGGTCTAATCGAGGACCCTCTGGCCTTGTAAGTCATTGGACCCTCCGGTCCGGTCTATATAACACATAGCATACACATAACACAATGCACATAATCTCAATCATCCACATAACACATAAGACCATCCGGTCTGCACATAAATATCACTCTAGGTAATGTATAGTGAGAAGACTCACCTCGTAAGATGTCTAGTAAACTCTCGTGCTTGATATCCTCGATCTAGCCTCCGCCTAGCACAATGATAATAATTCTAATCAATACTCTCTTTACATCCTCATCTCTAGAGAATGGGTAGAAGACCATTCTACCCCTCCCTGACCCCTCTTAATCAGTTTGACCAAACCCTAAGGTCAACTGAAGTCAACTCCAGTCAACGGTCCAATTTTGACCAGACTCGTCGAGTCCACTTATTTCCTCAGAAGTCTTGTGAAAGTCCAGCTCAGCTCGTCGAGTTGACCCCTAACTCGTCGAGTTATCGCATGATTCAGCTCTTCGGGACAAACCCTAACCAACTCGTCGAGTCGGCTCATTGACTCGGCGAGTTCATTCAGACCAAATGTTCATTCAGACGATTTCAATCAGATATATCACTCCAAACGCTAGATCTATCATCTCAAGGCTCAATAATCACGTAAAGCTTCGATCTTTACGTTCATACATGAGGTTATTGCTCCAAAATGCTAATACATGCCTTTCATGAATGATTAAGCCCAAAAACCCCCATATGGATGAATAAAGTTGGGTTATCTAAACTCTAAGGACCTCACAAGGTCCAGATCTGAGGTCTAGACTTCTGGATAACACATGCTACTCAAAAACCCAACCAAAATGACAAAAGCCCTAAATTTTCATAGATATGAGATCCAACTAAATAGATGAGAAAGGTGTGGGCTTTTTACCTTCCAGAGAAGCTCTTTGAGAAGAAATGCTAGATCCCACAGCCTCATCCCACTCCTTGCTTGAAGCTCACTCCTCTTCTTCCAAAAAGGTCCATCAAAACACTTGACTCAAGCTCAAGGACTCTCTCTTAGCTTCCATGGCCGCCTAGGGTTTCACACAGGAGAGTTGATCATAAGATGAGCCGCAAATGAGGCTATAAGTGCCTTTAAATAGGACACAGGCCCGAAAGTTTAGGGTTTCCTTCACCAGCACTGACTCGGCGAGTCGAAACACAGACTCGTAGAGTCAGCTCATTAATCCTCGTCACCCAACGCGACTTTACTCGACGAGTTGAGGCACTAACTCGTCGAGTCGCCCATGGAACTCATTATTACAATAGAAATGTTATACCCCGGAACCAGGATGTTATAATTCTCCCCCACTTAATTTGATTTCGCCCTTGAAATCGCTCTTCATTCACACATAGCTCGAACCTATAACTCGGAAAGCACCACTGAAAAGGGCCTCATACCCCACCGATATCTTTTCTATGGACACCTGAATCCAAACAGGAACTCCCAAATCCGGGACAAAACCGACCTCTTCTGCCGCTAAGATATCCCCTTTTCTGACCTCCCAAAAATCTGGAAGCTCTAGTAGCCTGGCCCGCCGCCAGACCGCCCAATCGAGATACCACTACGTTATTCGCTCCTCGAATAACAAACCCTGATAACTCACTACCCCTCTGACTCTCTCCAGACAAAATCCAACAATCGGTTACCGATCACTCATGCCAAACATAGTAACGATCCGATTCACGCCCCAAGAAACGAAAAAGTTCACATCCCACCAGGGCTCATCCACTAAACTGCTAACAGAACCCATCCGGACAATTAATTCTCAACACCCTGCCCTCAGACACAAAAGAATAATCATGCTCACTCAGAAGTGTCCTCAGACATCTAAAAATCATAAGCCTCAGCTCCATTTCTCATATCCCTTTTAACACTGAGTACCAGGTCTGATCTCGACCCAACAATTGAACCTCCAAGGTTATCCATTGTATTAACCCAACCGTC